CACCCCCCACACTCCCAACCCAGGCCCTTCTCCAGGATCCCCTCCTTCCAGTGCCACGCCCAGGCGCAGCCCTCCTGGGAGCCCCCCAGGCCCCGAGTTCTTGGGGGGTCCTCACCCCTGAAGTGAGGGAGGGGGACCCAGAGCTTGCGGTCCTGGTGACCTGGGCACAGGGATGCCAACCTCTGGCCTCTGTGTGTGGCCTCAGGGGCTCACAGAGCGTCAGCCTGATGCCTGTCTGCCCCTGCCTCGCCTTCCCCCCCCCCCACGCCCCCGATCTGGGAGCCCTTGGGGACAGCATCGCCGCGTGGAGGTGCGTCAACTCCTTCCTGGTGACGTGCGCGTGACCTCAGTGGAGGCAGGGGAGGAGCCGATGACCTTGCCAAGCCCTCTCCCGCCTCGGACTCCTGAGCCCAGGGTCACCTGCCCTCATGGCATCACCCGCCAGGGGCCTCAGTCCCCCCTACCCCCGATCGAGGAACCGCTGGAGAAACACGAAAGCTCCTATCTCAGTTCGGGGGACACTCGGGGCCCACGCTGTCGGAACTCCTAAGACCTCGACAGCTCCGGGCGGAAACGACTGGATGTTTCGATGACAGAAACCATCGCCCAGACGGACCACAGATCTCGAGTCAAAGAGATCTCGTCCCCACGGCTCCCGGGCGCGCCCACGGCGGGGTCGGCGACAGCAGCCCCATCCACGTCTGCGAAGAAGCAGCAATCGGGCCATGACGCCAAGGCGCCCACACTCGGGGCTGGGAGGCCCGTCCCAGGGCCCACCTGCAGGGGCAGGAAGGCCACAGCCACGCGTGCCCCCAAGGCCTCGGTCCGCATCGCTGCTCGTCAGCTCTCGTGCCCGGAGATGACACAGAAAGCGTCCTCACCTCTGAGCCCCCGCGCTGGCCCCCTGCACGCCTGGCACAGGGACGGAGTCCACGCTGGGCCCTCTGTTGCACCAGGCAGCGACGGGCACAGGGCCCACGGGGCTGCGGTGTGGACAGGTGGGCACACAGAGCGGTACACCTGCCCCCTGGCGCACATTGCCCCCTCAGCCGCCCAGCAGATAACCAGAGGCTGCCCCCCTTCCAGCAGGGACGAGGCCCGGCCCTGGACTGGCCCCCTAAAGGCTGCAGGTGCAGGAGCTGGTACAGACGGGCAGACAAGGGTGGATGGGCGAGCGAGGGCCGGCGCAGCCCGCCTCCCTCTCCTCCCCCGCCTCCTGCCCTGTCTCTGGGTGTGGACACGGACCACCGTCCAGCAGAGGAGGCCCCTGCTGGGCTCCGGTCACCAGCAGCCATGGGTTGGAACCTGTAAGAGGACCTGGAGGCAGGACAGGGAAACCCGATGAGGCATGAGGGCACCGAGGCTCGGTTCCTGCAGACCTGCCCGACATCTGTGCCGTGGCTGCCTCCACGGAGCCGCGTGGAGCGAGGAGGAGGAGGCGGAGGAAGAGAAGGAGGAGGAGGAGGAGAAGGGCGTGGGAGTGGCTGCCGGACCCTTCGGAGGACAGGGAACAGGTCCAGGACTCTCCGTTGTCCCCGGATCACTAAGCCACCAATCACAGGGCGGGCGAGGAGCGCTGTGCAGCCATCTGTCAGGGGAGCTGGGGAGCAGGTGCCCGCTGGGCAGGAAGCTGGCCCGGGTGACCTCCGCGTCCTGGCCCATCTTGGCTTCCAAGTGCTGTCGACTCTCCAGGAGGGAGCCCGCTGGCGGCCCCCCGTTCCAGCAGCTCGGCCCGGCCAGAGCCTCTCGGCCAGCAACACGCGGCTGGGCCCCAGGCGGGGGGAGGCCGAGCCAGGGCAGCACGGACAGGGCGCTGAGGGGGACCCGGCCCTCACCCCGTCCTGTCCGTGCCAGGTCGGGAAGCTGGGGGCAGGGATCATGTCGCCTGTCAGCAAGCCTCGGCGGGCGGAACCGTCGGTCCAGAGGAGAAACGGGCCAGGCGGGGAGGGGGGACGTGCCTGACCTCCCCCGCTGACCCCGCCAGGCCCTGCGTGTGGAGGAGCAAACCTCTGCAGACGCTCCCACCGCACGCCATCCCGGGAGCCCGCAGGGCAGGGCTGAGCCGGGGACCACTCCTGGGCCATTGGGCCGCCCGCTGCCGCCAGAGACATTAAGGAAGCCCTGCCCACTCGGGAGGCGCCAGCGGCCTCAACGGAGGGACACTTCGGGTGTCGCGATGCTTTTGTCCATCGCGCCCCGGCTCCCGGCCCCAACTCCCTTCACACAACAGGTCCCCGCAGCAGAGGGGCATCTGGGACGGGCCCCTGGAGCCTGGCAGGCCTCACCCCCACGCCGCCCGGGGCCTCACCCCTACACCGTCCGCAGGAGCCAGGTGCGGCCTGTGCTCCCAGCCCTCTCCAGCCCTCTCGCGCCTCCGTTTCCCCAGCTGAGCAGGTGGCACGGCACGAGGTCATCCGCAAAACCCCTCTGACCCTCCCGTTGGGCCGAAAGCTGAGAGAAGGAGGCATTTGCTAGAAGTTTCCAATGAGCACATGTGACTTTACAATCGGAGAAAAGCCAACCTCGCACCAGGAGCACACGAAGGGGGCGTCCACACACCCCCGCTGGCCCCCGATGGTGGCACAGGGGCCTCACGCTCCCGGGGACAGAGCCAGCCACGTCCCAGCTGAGGACGGAGCCCCAGAACTGCCAGGTATGGACGGAAGTCCAAGGAAAGCCGCCACGCCTGCCTCCCCTCCC